CGAGTGAATTATGACACATGGATATACATATGAATTAATAAAACTATTCAAATTGAATCATAGTTCAGTGATAAGTCTTGTTATTTAATTCTGGTATTGAACTGACCTAGATCTTATTCTATCCTTTCTCTCCTTGTCGATACTGCACCATAAAATACTTCCTGATCCAGCAATATGATATTCAATGCATATATATATTTTTTGCATGGTATATATTTTGGTGTTTTGTACGAGACGAGCGCAAAACACGTATGATCAGCTGGGTTCTCTCCCAAGCATATAAAGCAAAGCAAAAATATTTTTCCCAAAAGTTTTATATATTGTTTAAAAAAACAGGCTTTCTTTACAGCTATAGCATCTAGATGCGCCGAGAGAGGAAACACATTTTACCATGTTAAGAAAACTGTTTTTGTTGTTGTAAATCAGAGTTCTATCCATTAAAGAGAAATCAATATAAAGAGTATTAAAAAAGGAGAATGAAAGAGGGAAAAGAAGGAGAGGGAGGGGGGGGAGGGAGAGGAGGAGGGGGGAGGGGGGGGGGAGGGGGAGGGGGAGGGGGAGGGAGAGGGAGAGGGAGAGGGAGAGGGAGAGGGAGAGGGAGAGGGAGAGGGAGAGGGAGAGGGAGAGAGAGAGGAGAGAGAGAGAGAGAGAGAGAGAGAGAGAAAGGAACTGAAAGAAAGAAAGAGAGAGATAAAGAAAAATATAAAACATCATCCATACCCATCTGAGATGTATACCCTCTCTCCCTTTTCCAAGCCTTCGTCCCCAAACTAAAATTCCCGACGGACGATCCCTCCGCCACGGAAGAGAGACGGAATGAGAGCCTCCCTCGAAACCGCCCTCCGTTCTCTCAGGGTTGTAAGAGGGCGTCGAGAACAAGAGCGAGCGAGAGAGCCTCCCTGAAACCCCGTTCCTCAGGGTTGAAAGAGGACTGAGGGACGGAGAGAGCGCCTCCTCGAGACCGCCCCTGTCCCCCAGGGTTGAAAGAGGGCGGCGGGAACAAGAGCGAGAGAGAGAGCCTCCACCCATCCCCAAGGTTGAAAAAGGACTGCGGGGCGGACAGACGGACGGAGAGCCTCCCCCGAAATCCGCCCTCCGTCCCCCAGGGTTGCAAAAGGGCGGCGGGGCGGAGAGCGAGCGAGAGAGCCTCCCCATAACCGCCCCCCAGGGTTGAAAGACGGCGGCGGGGACAAGAGCGAGCGAGAGAGCCTCGCTCGAAACCTCGCCCCCAGGGTTGAAAGAGAGCGGCGGTGCGGAGAATCGGCCAGAGAACCTCCCCCAAATCCGGCCCCGTCCCCCAGGGATGGAAGAGGACTGCGGGACGAGCGAGAGAGCCTTCCCCCGAAACCGCCCCCGTTCCCCCAGGGTTGAAAGACGGCGGCGGGAACAAGAGCGATTGAAAGAGCCTCGCCCCATCCCCCAGGGTTGAAAGAGGGTGGCGGGGTGTAGAGTCGGTCAGAGAGCCTCCCCTAAATCCATCCCCGTTCCCCCAGGGTCGAAAGAGGTCGGCGGGGCGGAGAATCGGAGAGAGAGCCTCCCCCGAAAACGCCCCCGTTCCCCCAGGGTTGGAAAAGGGTTGCGGGGTGGAAAATCGGCCAGAGAAACCCCGTCCCCGAAGGTTGAAAGAGGGCGGCGAGAGAGCCTCCCCGAAACCCCGTTCCTCAGAGGGATAAAAGAGGGCGGCGGGGTGGAGAGCCTCCCGAAACCGCCCCCCGGCCCCAGGGTTGAAAGAGGGCGGGGAATCGGCCAGAGAGCTTCCCCCAAATCCGCCCCCGTTCCCCCAGGGTCGAAAGAGGGCGGCGGGGCGGAGAGCGAGCGAGAGAGCGCGGCTCCACCACGTAATTGTCATCAGACACCGGGGACTCGCGGATTCCGACGGAGATATTGATGAACGGAAATGATTGCAATCAAGAGCGAAATAATGAGAGGGAAATTCGCGGGATGCTGATGCGGATCGCGCTAAAGTGGGTTTATTCGTCTGTGCGGATTCTCTGACCTGTGAGTGATTATAAAATCTCTTATTTAGATCAAGTAAACAGGCGAAAGAAAGAAAGAAAGAAAAAACAAACAAACAAACAGAAAGAAAGACGAAAGAGAACATGGAAAGAAGAAGTGAAGAGGAAGCGAAAGATTCTCTGACCTGTGAGTGATTATAAAATCTCTTATTTAGATCAAGTAAACAGGCGAAAGAAAGAAAAAAAAGAAAAGAAAGAAAGACGAAAGAGAACATGGGAAGAAGAAGTGGAGAGGAAGCGAAAGATTCTCTGCCCTGTGAGTGATTATAAAATCTTTTTATTTAGGTTAAGTAAACAGGCGAAAGAAGAAAAAGAAAAAAAAACAAAACAAAACAAAGAAAGACGAAAGAGAACATGGTAAGAAGTGAAGAGGAAGCGAAAGATTCTCTGATCTGAGAATGATTTTAAAATCTTATTATTTAGATCAAGCAAACAGGCAAAAAGAAGAAGAAGAAAAAAAAACAGAAAGAAAGATGAGTAACTCTAGAGAACGAAGGAAGAAGAAAGGAAAGTGAATAGCAAGCGAAAGATACAGATTCTTTGACCTGTGAGAGGGAGAGGGAGAGGGAGAGGAGAGGAGAGGGAGAGGGAGAGGGAGAGGGAGAGGGAGAGGGAGAGGGAGAGGAGAGAGAGAGAGAAGAGAGAGAGAGAGAAGAGAGAGAGAGAGAGAGAGAGAGAGAGAGAAGAGAGAGAGGGGGGAGAGAGAGAAAAAAAAAAGAGAGAGAAAGAGAAAAAGAAGAAAAGAGAAAGAGAGAGAGAGAGAGAGAGAGAGAGAGAGAGAGAGAGAGAGAGAGAGAGAGAGAGAGAGAGAGAGAGAGAGAGAGAGAGAGAGAGAGAGAGAGAAAGATCAACATCTAGAGAGAGGGACAGAAAGAAAGACGAAAGACAACGAAGGAAGAGGAAAGGGGAGTGAATAGGAAGATACAAATTGGACCTCGACAGAGACTAGCACAGGGGCCGACTAAGCACACACGCAGTCTAATCCCGGGGATAACAAGCCTCACCCTTCGCCCGATGGAACCGAGGCCTGGATCTCGACTGCCTCTTCTCCCCCTCCTCTCGTCTGCCTTTCCCCACCCTACCTCTTTCTCTCTCTCTCTCTCTCTTTTTTTCTCTTTCTTTTTTTCTTTCTCTTTCTTTCTTTTTCTCTCTCTCGCTCCCTTTCTCTCCCTCTCTCTCTTTCCCCCCTCCTCTCGCCTCCCTTTCCCCACCCTACCTCTTTCTCTCTCTCTTTCTTTCTTTTTTTTCCTTCTCTTTCTCTCTCTCTCTTCTTTTTTCTTTCTTTCTCTCTTTCTTTCTTTTTTTCTTTCTCTCTTTCTCTCACTCTCCTATCGCCTCCCTTTCCCCACCCTACCTCTTTCTCTCAATCTCTTTCTTTCTCTCTCTCTCTCTCTTTCTTTTTTCTTTTTCTTTCTCTCTCTGTCACTCTCTTTCTCTTCCTTTTTTTCTTTCTCTCTCACTCTCTCTCTCTCCCTATTTCTCTCTCTCTCTCCTCTTTCCCCCTCCTCTCGTCTCCCTTTCTCCACCCTACTGAACGACGGAGATCTCCTCCAAGAAAGCAGTGGCGCCATCTGGTTTTGTTTTGATTTGCATTTTCCGTCAGACTCGTTGGCAATGAACCTGTGACTGAATTTATTACTTTTTTTCTTTCTTTAGCAAACAGGACTTCCTCGGCTTTACCGAAACAAAGGACGGGTTTTGTTTTAGTTCACTTATCTCTATGATTGATTCATTTTTTTCTTTTCACTCTTCTTTTCTTCTTTCTCTTCTTTTATCCCTTTTGCTCCCCCTCTTTTTTCTCTTCCCTTCTTCTTCTCGTCTTCCCTCCTCCTTCTCCTCCTCAGTCTTCTTCTCCTCTTCCCTTGCTCCTTCTCCTCCTCTTCCCCTCCTCAGTCTTCCCTTCCTCCTTCTCATCCTCAGTCTTCTTCTTTACTTCCTACTGTCTTCCTCTTCTCTTTCTTCTCCTCCTACTCCTTCTCATTCTACTTCTGTTTTTCCTTGTTTCTGTTATTCTCATCCTTCTCCCCCCCTCCCCTCCGCATGAGCAATGCAGAATCGTCTGGCGTATCAAGCGAGTAACTTTAAATATGGGGAATCTTTTTTCTTTTTTTTTAGTCTTTGTTTTTTTTTTCTCTCCATCTTTTCCTTCTTCTAGAGCTTTAATTATATAAAATCCCCGTCGTTATGGCAAGTAAACTGACAAACAGGCAGATAGATATATAGATAGATAGACAAACAGACAATGAAAATGATTCAGACATTTATCTCGAAAAAATATATATTTTAAGGGGTAACTCTTCCATTTTATATTCAAGTGGATAATAGTGGTAGGCATTTTTTTGCGCTGTAGTTTCGGCAAGTTTAGGGAATGCGTATTTTTTTCTTTTTTCTTCCAAGGTGATGATACATGATCTTTATCCTCAAGAAATCGAAAATTTGACAGTTCTTCATACCTGAACCTTTTCTCCTGCAATCAGTACTTGCAATCATCCTGCAAGACGGCAGCAAAGATATTATATATCATGTGAATTCGTGCTTGACCTTTGCCTTATACGTGTATTTGGACTAAACATTTTTTTCAGATTTCGTTCGGGGTCAGTGAATAGTTGGGATAGAGGCGCTTATTACGTTTTTCGTTTAATAAAGTCCAAAGGATATTTCATGGTTAGATATAGCTATTGGTAAAATAACAATGTACATATTTTCCACGGTCGTTACATCACAGCATTATTTTCTATTTAATTCAGTTATCTTTATCAACACACGATATAGGTATAGGTAAAGTAACAATATATTTTCACGATCACTACATCGCAGCTTTATTTTCTATCTAATTCAATTGATTAATGTATACCTTGATTAACACTGGAAGCGGACATACCTCCGCCAGTCGCATCTGTGCAATACAAATTTAATTAAATAACTTATGCACTCTGTTAAATCTATTACTCTCGAATTTTTGGTTACATGGTTACTTTACAACCTTACAACCATTGCAGAACCTAAAACGCCTACTTGATCACCGTACGACCATATACTACACAATTACAGACATCAACAAACCACCCAACATCCAGAATTGATAGTCCCAATAAATTGATAAATTAACTCCTCCTCATATAATCAATGCCATAACGATTCACTAATTTCGCAATCTGCACATCCCATGAACCCCCATCGACTTCTCTCCGTACATATTCAGCCATTTCTTGCTCCCATTGCTTGCTCTCCTCAGCATCGTGTGTCTGAAATACCAAGGACTCTGGTTTCCCCTTAAGCAACTGACAAAGCTTCATTCTCGGCTCTTTTGTGTTCTTTGGATCTGACGAAGCTGATATGACAGAAGCCTTCGAAATGTTGCCGACATTTTCTCTCGCAGATTATTAACTTCATTTCCAGACGCGCGTGGATTTGCGAGCGTAATAGTCTTGAGTAAAACGCGTTGTATTTTGCGATGAGAGGAAAAAAAAGGTCGATGGTTAATCATCCGCGTGGGATTTTCCCCCAAGAAAGCACGAAAGGCATTAATGAGGGAAATAATGATTCCTTGTATAATGGCTTTCAAAGTCGTTCAAAAAGCGCCGGGAAATCTGGCGACGTCTCTGCAAGGAAATAATGAGCATAACGGTTTACATCAATGCCAAATCGGTTCCGAAGAAAGTGCAGGCCAAAAATGGGAAACCCTATTTTGATATAAATCCTCCGAGCTAATAAGTGCGCCGCGGGTCAAGTGACGTCACCCACGAATCCCTTTCAAGTCGTCCTCGATGATTGGCTCGGGGAAATCATTATTTTCGGCGAGCGTGACAAAACTTGGGCTAATATCTCCTCTGATCCGTCTCTGAGGCATTCGGCTTGGCGAGGCCCGCCGGCCAGGATGCTTTCTTTTCATGACGGGACTTCGCGGAATGGGAATGCGGTTTGGAATGCCTTTGTGAATAAGTGCAATGGGTGTATACATGTTTGTATGTGTGTAAGTTTATGCGCATGTTAGCATATACATATATATGCGTCCTGAATTTGGACTAGATCTCCGGAATACAATAACCATTGTCAGTTGTGGATCTTCGTGACGTCAGCTAATACACTGCACGCATGTATTATACACGTTTGCTGTCAAAAAGCAAATGCAAATGCTAGGTCTCCCACTTCCTTACTAGCGGTAGTTATCATGTGCAAACTGAGAAAGATACTAACCCTTGTGTTGCCTCTTTCCCCACCGATTACGCACCAGCTGATCCGACCAATCAGCTGTTCTTGCGAGACCTGACTCATCTCCTCTTGTTTAGTTCCAGACAAGCTTCATGACTGGCTCTGACATCTTGACGGGAGACGTGTACGACCTTAGCCTGGCCTCTGTACGTGACCTACCAAACGACCTTTGCCCTGACCCTTTCCCTGACGACCTCTGCGGCGAGGAGGCCGACGATGACCAGACGCCCATCGAGACGGTCAACCCGCTGACGCAGCCGCAGATCCTCGACTGCGTGCCCCAGGCGGGCTTTGACCTCCCCATGGCCTTCGACCCTTACCACGACAACTTCCCCCTGACCTGCGCTGGCCCCGCCCTCGACCCCCTCGCCCTCCACCCTCAGAGCCTGATCCGCTTCCCCCAGGAGGACGACCTCGTGCTCGGCCCCGTCCTTCCCCCGCCGATGTCTCTCCAGACCCTCCCCCACCTCGAGGACCACATCCCGGTGTTCCTCGACGCGCCGATCCACCCGTCGTTCTTGGAGGACCACATCATTCCTCCCGATTTCTTCGCCTTCGAGGACGAGATCGCCCCGTTCCCCGAAGACGCCGTTTGTGCGTGTGACGAGGACGAGGACGCTGTGTCTGACGATAACGATGACGATGACTACGACGACGAGGAGGCCGACGGTGGCCAGACGGAGGGCCAGGGTGGAGGCCAGGACAGCCCGCCCGAGCTCCAGCGGCGGCGCCCTTCGCTCGACCACAACTGGAGGCTCGGGGACGGAGAGGGCCAGATCTTCCCCGCCTTCTCCCAGTGACGTGACCTCTGACCCCTCGTGGAAGAAGGGCCAGCTCTCAAGGTCAAATGTTTGAGCACAAAGTGAGACAGATTACATGTACTCTAAGAACTGCTGTGACGACTAAGACGTACTATGTTTGACATTTATACGATATGACGATGATATGCGCTAGAATAAAGGACATATATATTATATATATATATATATATATATATATAATATATATATATATATATGTATATATATATATATATATATATATATATATATATAATATATATATATATATATATATATACATGTACAGTGTGCATGTATGCATATATATATATATATATATATATATATATAATATATATATTATATATATATATATATATATATATATATATATATATGTACAGTATGCATGTATGCATATATATAATATATATATATATATAATATATATATATATATATATATATATTATATATATATATATATATATATATATATATATGTATATGTGTGTGTGTGTGTGTGTGTGTGTGTGTGTGTGTGTGTGTGTGTGTGTGTGTGTATGCATGCATGTATATATACATAATACACACACACACATATATGTGTGTGTATGTGTATGTATGTATGACGATATGACGTCATACATACATACATGCCATACATATGTATGCATATATATACATACATACATACATATATATATATGCACATGCATATATATATATATATATATATATATATATATATATATATATATATATATATATATATATACACACACATGCAATATATATATATGTATATATATGCATGCATGCATATATATATATATATATATATATATATATATAATATATATATATATATATATATATATATATACATATATATGTATGTATACATGTATATAAGAATTTCATGACCTGATATGTTCTACAAGTTTATGTACCAGTGCCTGTATCTCTATCTCTAATCGTTTGAATCCATATGTATGAATCCGCAACACCGGGCTCCGCAGCAGCGAATGCCAAACAGCCAAACCTCCTCCTGTATGATGCAAATTGAGGCTTTGTCCGTGCAATTGACCAGTTGCACCTCCTTTAATTTATGTACAACAAGGAAATTAGGAAGGTAAGAGAAAACAGAGTCTGTGTATTTCTAGAACGGGCATTTATATATATTTTTTTTCTGTGTAGGTGGCATTGTAGATGTTAGTATCTTTCAAGGAATATTGATAACTTCCATTAATAAATTTGTGAAAAGTGGTTTAAGAATTCATTGACTGGAAGCTACAGACTGGAGAAAATCGACATGAATACTGTGACATGAAAATGACATTGTGAAGAGACGCACCGTCTTGTAAAGTAATTGTTTGAACGCACGAAACACACTCGTACACATAACGTATATGTACCCTTCCTGAACGAACTCGAACCCGCTTAGAGGTTCACTTGTTCCCTAACCACTCGCGTTACCTCTGCTCCGGGTGTTAATTCACTGCAATGTCATTTTAAAACGTACTCTTCACACCTGATACTTTTTGCAGACATATGAATAAACATCACACTTCAGGTACACAAAAAACGGGTCTTTCCAAATAACATTACAAAAACAATACAAAGTGTTGAGGTGTACCGCGTGCAGCACAGCATGGAAGCGCCTAAGGTTTTCCATAAGGAAGGGAAAAAATGTGCAATGAAAAAAAAACAAAACAAAAAAACTGTCCTCACCCTTATGAAATAATGGTTATGATATATTGGTTCAATAACCACACAAGCCAAGTAAATCCCTTCCTACGCCCTTGGTATACCCTGTTCTGAAATATTCCATATAAAATGAACACGTACCTACGAACCGTATTCATGTTGACGAATGTTTAATGGATGAGCACGGATATCCTAACAATACAAAGAGATGTATACTTTGACAGTCTCACAGATCATAGATATACGGCGTGCCAGGAAACACTATCTGGAGGGCTATTATACGGTCACTCACAACTGGAATGGAAATGATAGGAGACGTATGTACGTTGCACGGACCAGGTTGCACGTAGGTCTTTTGAGATATCAGTTCGGCACGATCTACGCAGTTGGCAGCCGACAGGCACGTCGGATGTACTAAACTCGAACAGGTAAGGCGAGTAGTGGTTTCTGGTATTGTTCTGTGAAGTTTGCTATGCATATCAGCAGCTCGGCACTTGCGCTAGAAGTCGTGCATGTCGAACCCTTTTTAAGAGGTACAAATTTCAGGAGAGCCGCGTACGTGAGCGACACGCTGATAGTTCCCAACATCTCTGAAGTCTCAAAGTATGTTTTCGAGGCGAGATGTAAGTGAGAGACGAATCGATACGGCAAGTGCAGTCATCCGAGTTGCTATCTGGTGTAATTTTTTTATTCAGGTAGAGATGGGTATCAGATGAGAGAATCACTCCGAAAATAGAGAGAATATTCGCGAGATTTTATGTATTACAGAGAAAAGCTCACGCAGAGCGAACGCACGATTACGAGAGCGTGCAGAGCAAGCCATGGATAGGATAACGGGATACGAGTTTATGATGCGACCTCTCTCAGAGCGTTAGAGAGAGGAAAGGCAGAGTGAGAGGGGAGGACGAGGAAATAACACAGGAGACCCAAACACGCTACGGAGTTATCTCAGAGACCCTTTAGATGTGTTATAGCGAGGCAGAGTATCTGTATCTTTCTGGCTAACTTGATATATATACCCATATGCGCATTATGGCAAAACAATGTAGACATACGCACGTAGAGTATTGACAATGTGGGAATGTTCGTCTCTCTCTTGCACAATTGGTCTTGCCGTCATGCAGCATGGGAGAGAGAGAGGGCGCGCAAGGGCATATCGCGTTGGTTTTCTGCATCATCCACGTAATTAGAGATGCGCTGAGAGTAAACACAATATCAGTTCGTTTCCTGCATCCTATTCAAACGAGTGTTTTTCTACCTAGTTGACACGAGAAAACACTGTGCATTAGCTATATACTCCATTCGCGAGCGAAGCGCAGCTTACATAGAAGTTTGATCCACAAGAGGCGTCAACCCTTATCTCAGGGGTCTGAGCACTCATTGACCACTAGCGGAATCATACAACGTTAACTTTTGTTCATTTTCTCTCGCGGCAATAATGTTTACGCAATCTGATTAGAGCAGACAGGACTAGAAGTATAATATAAATTTGTATTGCGACGGGCGTCATGTATGGTACAGAATGGAAACTGCGAGTGCATGTTGAGCAGACCGAGATAGTTTGAGCGCAGCACTCCTTCTTGCTCACCATCGAAACTCAGCGCATCGCTATTTCGATATAATTGGCACTTTCTCGATAGAATTTATTGTTGTTTATATCAAGCATATTATATTGTATCATTCCAATATGAAATCTAGGAATAGGAGAGTCCACAATCTATTTTTAGCCATTGTCTTGTATTGGAATGCGAGTATATATGGTAAGTCAGTCATCTTTTCGCACAAAATTGCGAAACTAGAACGCAGATTTAAGGGGAGGAGAGGAGTAAGAATATAGAATCGATAGTAGGAGGAGGGAAAGAAAGATTGTGTAGGCAGTAGCTGGGTTCGGGTCTAGTTATGACACAGTGGAAATCTGAAGACGGATCTAGGACTAAGAAATAAACTCAAAGCGATAGAAATATCTAATAAAGGAGGGACAAAGGAGAGGACATGGAAAATTGAGCTGGTAGTGTAAACAAGAGTGTGAGTAATAGCATCACAATACAGCACACACTAAGACAGCTCATAATGTGTATATAAACTATATGAATATTCTATGAATGAGATAAACTATGCATTATAAATTACTAACCTATATATACTATTTTTCCTATGCAACATTTATAGTTTATATTATTAGGGACTCAAAGGAAAACATAGTTACCAGTTGACTAGCGATCGAAATTTACGAGTTAGTTAGGAAGAAGTATGAGAGACGAGAGAGTATGAGAGAAAGTGAGAGGGAGATGAGTATAGTTAGCATTTGTTTAATATTAGGAGTGTATTATGTTATTTTATTATAGTATTGGAATATAGACCAGTATTAAAATCTTTACAATACATCATGTGATCTATCTATTTATTTACATATTTTATATCCCGAGTGGCAACACACACCGAGGACTACACCACACCGCAACGACGCGAATCACACACACATCGACTACGCGAGCAGACAGCAGCAGCGACACACTCTTTCACAATCTTTTACTACTTAGATTTGTAATGGTTAAAGCCATCTTGTGTCACATCACACAGATTATGTTTTGTACCCGCGCGAGCAGCGCAACCTAAACTAGGTACACTTCGTATCGAGCATCTCCTCAACAACGAGCATACAATCACAAATGTATACACACACACACACACACACACAACAACACAATTAGTTTGGTATGTCCATACAGTAGAGATTTACGCGTGGGTCAGAAATCAACACACTTTTGAGGAGAAATAGTAACTTTTATTGCGTTTTTTTGCTGCTGTAAAGGGTCATGCCGGCATATTAACTGTGATGAAGCATGGAAAAGGTATCCCACTCAACCTGTTCTTCGACACCATGTATTCTTTGAGAAGTTGCTATGAAGGGTTTAAATGGCCTTTGTCTATTGGTGGTGGTAGTTGGTAATTAGTTATGGCGGTAAGTAGTAGTATTAGTAGATTAATTAGTGGGGAGCTAAGTGATGAAGTAGAAGAGGTATGATGTTGGTTTGTAGTTAAAGTAAGAGGTTATCGAAGCAAGCAAGAAAAATACGAACTAAAACAAGCAAAATTTTGAAGAGCTGAAACTGTGATCACGAGAAGCTAAAGAAAGAATGTGAGCTGTTGTTTAAAACATACCCACATAACATTTTCTCTCTCTCACTATTCATCTTATCTCACTCTATCTTACTCTCTCTCTATTCTATATATATATATACTCTCTCTATCTATCATCTGCTTTCATCATCATCGTATCTTGTTATGTATTGTCTATTCTTAATTCAGTCTCTCTCTCTCTGCTTTTCTTTTTCTCTCTCTCTCTATCTCTCTTACTTTCTCTCTTATACTAATATATATCTCCTCTCTCTGCTTCTCTACTTCTGCTCTCTCTCACTTCTATCTATATTCTCAATTACTACTTTTATACTATTATTTCTATA